AAGAGACTGCCCTAATCCTAAGAGACTGCCTTAATACTTAGAGACCGCCCTTATCCTAAGAGACTGCCCTAATCCTAAAAGACTGCCCTAATCCTAAGAGACTGCCTTAATACTTAGAGACCGCCCTTATCCTAAAAGACTGCCCTAATCCTAAGAGACTGTCCTAATCTTAAAAGACTGCCCTAATACTTAGAGACCGCCTTTATCCTAAGAGACTGCCCTAATCCTAAGAGACTGTCCTAATCCTAAGAGACTGCCTTAATACTTAGAGACCGCCCTTATCCTAAGAGACTGTCCTAATCCTAAGAGACTGCCCTAATCCTAAGAGACTGCCTTAATACTTAGAGACCGCCCTTATCCTAAGAGACTGCCCTAATCCTAAAAGACTGCCCTAATCCTAAGAGACTGTCCTAATCCTAAAAGACTGCCCTAATCCTAAGAGACTGCCCTAATCCTAAAACAAAAAACAAAAAAACTAATTCCTAATACTGAATAATTGGGATTCAGGCCATTTGGTGCTGTTATCTATACTCTAAAAACAATCATATTCAGACACTGTTTTCTAGGGACTGCAACTAACAATATTTGTTTTTACTAATCAATTAATCTACTGACGATTAATCAATTTAATTGAATAAAGAAAATCGGCACATTCTGCAGATTCTTCATTTAACAACTTTGCAATATCAAAAATGCATTAAAATATGCAAATACAATTCCTTTCTTAAATAAGAAAATAAACATTTTATCACCTAAAAATATCTTCAGTGAATGCTTGTCTTTAGTGGTCATTTGTACCAAAGAATCCATCTGCAGCTACAAATACTCCTTGTTTTTTCATTTTTAATAAATAAATTCTTCCAGGATCAACATGTGAACAGCTCAGCTCTTTACCAATGACTTAACAGCAGAAGGGCTGATCTGGTCATCAGTTTTGGTTTTACCTATTCATAGTTGGACAGCAGGAGATGCTGAATTGGAGATTATGGGTTTTTTTTAAACAGAATTTGATTAAGTTAAATTACGCCTCTTAATGAGGCATAACTTAACTTTGCCTCATTAAGTTATAAGTTCAATAAGTTCTACATATTTATCAATAAGTCAAAGTTATTGATAAAGGTTTTTTTTTATTTTAAAAGCAAAATGTACACAATTTTGCACTGTTTAGATTTGATTGCTGCTCTCTCAGTGTTGTTCTTTCTTTTTGTTGTCTGTTTACTCCAGCTAACAGTGATTAGATTATTGAATTTCTTGATGATTATTTCAATACTTGATTAATCATGATTAATCCGGTGAATCGTTTCAGCCCAAATATTTTCCTTATTTTTTCTTGATTCATAGGTTGCATTATTACTGGTTTGTAAACACAACAAAAACTTTGACTCAAACTGATAAGTAAAGTTATGTACTTCTTTCCCTGATTATTGTTCCCTGCTGGATTAAAACAATAATTACTCATCATCCTTGCTGTTCATCCACAATTTCAGGAATGCTGACATGTGAGGAGCTGTCTGGGGTCCTGAGATAAGCTAACAGAAAGTATGCTTACTCAGGTGAGCATCATGGTGGCAGTGGAAATTATCTGAATGCATCTTTTATCTGAGAGCCTTTAATAAGATGACTCCCCGAAGCATCCACCCAGTTGACCTTTATTATCCTCACAGCTACTCCTCCAACGAGCTGCACATCCCAAAAGTGGAAAACACTGTTTCTGCTAAACAAAGGATATCCTCTGGACAGGGAAGAGCTGTCCTCATACAAACAGGCAACAATAGAAATGGGCTCTGGTGCAACCAACAGGATGTTTGTCTGTTCATCTACCTCCTTTTATATATATATATATATATATATATATATATATATATATATATATATATATATATATATATATATATATATATATATATATATATATATATATATATATATATATATATATAGCTGACTGGATAGCTCAAATATAGCTGACTGGATAGCTCAAATAAGCTGACTGGATAGCTCAATACATAAGGCATCAGTATATCACCCGAGAGGGCAGGGTTCGAATCCATTCTGGGTCCTTAGGCAAGACCCTTCAAGCTACTGCCTACCTCATACCATGAGAGATACTAAGTTGCATAACATGCCGGCTCAGACGTCGCCCGGCCAAACAAGGTCTGCGTCAGGTGTTGGGGAACCAGAGCACCTTGATGACAAATGGGCTACTGGAACAAGACGGAAATGGGCGAGAGATGAAAATGTGGATCTGTTGGAATGCTACTACTCAAGTAACCCTAGTCAGAGGGGTTACATGCAAAGACTGGGGAAGGAATGGTTACTTCGACATCCCCAGTCAACACTAAGCGCTAAACAACTAGTAGCTCAGTGTTCCAACATCAGCAAACGGCAACTGCTATCACAACTTGAGATTGACGAGATACAACACAAATGCTACGGCAAAAGGGAGGAACCCGGATGTCAGAACTGTGGGGACTTAACTACAAGTCCCCACCCAGTGAGGGGATACACGGCCCCAATGAGCGAAACAGAGCTGAACGAGACAGAGAGAGAATCATGACCCGAATGGCAGGGTAATTGAATGCCTACAGATGTATAACATCAACAGGATTCTGAGAGCCTTCATTGCAAACTCGATGAAGCTGTGGAAAACCACCCTTGAAGCCAATTGCAAACCACTTGCACAAGTGTCCATCAAATGTGGCATATACCAAGGAGATGCTCTGTCCCCGCTACTGTTCTGCATAGGCCTGAACCCCCTCAGGCTGGCTACGGATACCGACTCAAAAATGGGGCCAACATCAGTCACCTCCTCTACATGGATGACATCAAGCTGTACGCCAAGAGTGAGCGAGACATCGACTCACTGATCCACACCACCAGGATCTGCAGCACTGACATTGGGATGTCATTCGGACTAGAGAAGTGTGGTCGGCTGATCACAAAGAGGGGGAAGGTGATCCACAAAGAAGGAGTCTCACTCCCAGAAGGAACAATAGCAGACATAGAGGACAGTTACAAGTACCTATATAGGTATACCACAAGCAAATGGCAACCTCGATGAGGCCACAAGGAAAGGAGCCACAGCTAAATACCTCCAACGAATAAGGCAAGTCCTGAGAAGCCAGCTCAATGGCAAGAACAAAATCAGTGTGATAAACAGCTATGCCCTGCCAGTAATCAGATACCCTGCTGGAATAATTAGCTGGCCAAAGGAGGAGATAAAAGCCACAGATATTAAGACTAGAAAGCTACTAACCATGCATGGAGGGTTCCATCCCAAATCCAGCACCCTGAGACTGTACACGAGCCGCAAGGACGGAGGCAGAGGACTAGTGAGTGTGAGAACCACTGTCCAGGACGAAACAACTAAGATCCATAAATACATCAGGGACAAAGCTTCAATAGACAATGTGCTCAGTGAATGTCTCAGACAACAGGGAACGGAGGTTGAGGTGCCAGAGATACCATCATGGGAGGACAAACCCCTACATGGGATGTACCACCAGCAAATAACCCAAGTGGCTGATATCAGTAAGTCCTACCAATGGCTGGAAAAAGCTGGACTCAAGGACAGCACAGAGGCCCTCATCCTGGCCACCCAGGAACAGGCCCTAAACACCAGAGCAATAGAGGCCCAGATCTACCACACCAGACAAGACCCAAGGTGTAGGTTGTGCAAGGAGGCCCCTGAGACAATCCAGCACATCACAGCAGGGTGCAAGATACTAGCAGGGAAAGCGTACATGGAACGACATAACCAAGTGGCAGGCATTGTGTACAGAAACATCTGTGCAGAATATGGACTGGAAACCCCGAGATCAAAGTGGGAAACACCCCCAAAGGTGGTAGAGAACACCAGAGCTAAGATCCTGTGGGACTTCCAGATCCAGACAGACAAAATGGTAATGGTGAACCAACCAGACATTGTCGTAGTGGATAAAAATCAGAGGAAAGCCTTTGTGGTAGATGTAGCAATACCAAGTGATTGCAACATCAGGAAAAAGGATCACGAGAAACTGGAGAAATACCAGGGCCTCAGGGAAGAACTGGAGAGGGCCTGTGGTGAAGACCACAGTGGTGCCTGTGGTCATCGGGGCCCTCGGGGCAGTAACCCCCAAACTGGAGCAGTGGCTACAACAGATCCCAGGAACAACATCAGACATCTCAGTCCAGAAATGTGCAGTCCTTGGCACAGCCAAGATACTGCAGGACCCTCAAGCTCCCAGGCCTCTGGTAGAGGACCCGAGCTCAGAGGATAAGAACCACCCGCGGTGGGTGAGAAGGGAATTTTTATTTATATATATATATATATATATATATATATATATCTATATCTATATCTATATCTATATATATATATATATATATATATATATATATATATATATATATATATATATATCTATATATATATATATGAATATTATTTTCATATATTTAGGACCACAGAAAACATGACAATCAAATATCTAATGAATAAAATACGAGAAACGGCAGCTGCCTTTCGTTTCTGAATGACCTGAGAGACGTTTAGCGCCTCCATCTGGGCGACAGGAACCAGAGCTTTAGGCAGAGAAGAACTAGGGAGCTGTTTTTAGAACCTGCACGTAGGGGATACTGCGAGCAAAGGTTCCCTCATCCGTCTGCCTCTGTCTTCTGATAGGTTGGCAGGTAAACATAAACACCATGGAAGGATTAAAGCTCTCTGCCAGTAACCGTGGCAGCAGGGGCCAGGGAGTCACTTTGCAGACAATTAGCTACACAATAGGTGACGCAAAAAGGGACAAACAGTGATTTCCAGGTCTGAGTGGGTAATAGTTTAAATAGCTTTGTTTACAAAGGCATGCTTTTGTTCAGACAGACAGACAGACAGACAGACAGACAGACAGACATCATGAGGCTCAGGTGCTCAGGTGGGGAAAGGGCAGCCACTGGTTTGCTGTTAAAGACATGACCTAAACAGGATGTATGTATAAGTATTTCAAATTAATAGCCACATATGGGGTCTGAAGCAGAAGTTTAATAATGTTCAACACTTGCTTGGTTTTGTTTCTATAACACTGTGATTGGAAACAACAGAAAAAGAGCTGACATTTTGTCATGTAAAAGTACAAAAGTGTGGGCCAGTGGTGAACGAGGCTTTTAAATCCAGAAATGCTTCCTTGTTCAGAACATGCTGTGAACAGTCTGCTCTGAAAAAACAACAACTTTATTTCTGTTTTTGTCCACAGGTACTCTGGGTGCACATCCCTGCTAACAATTTTTATAAGTTTATTTTATTTATTTTCATATATTTACAAAACAAAATGAATATAAGAATATAAAGTGTGACACAATTTTCACAGTAAAAGAGCTAAGCAGCTTTCAAATTAATTTCAGTAGATGCATATTGAAGACATAACTGGTGAAATATGTATTGTACATTCTATTTCTTTATATTCAACACAGTGCCTTGCAAAAGTGTTCATATGTCTTGAGGTTATCAGCACATTTCTATGCGAGATATCTACAAAATTTAGGCGATAACTATGAAATAAAGGGGAATGTTGCATGGTTTTCAAAATGAAATCGTTTACAAATAGAAATCTGAGATATGTGGTGTGCAATAAACTGAAATCAATTGCTTTCAAAAGCGCCTTACATGCACTGCACAGTGGGATGAAGGCTCATATTGTATGTGATGTAGCTGCTTGTTGCTGTTTTCTTATACAGTGAATCTGGACTTTGACTGGATGCTCGTCGAAATGACTTAAAGGTTTCTCATTACAATGTTTAAAATCTGCAATAAAAAGCAAAGAAAGAAAGAAAAAGCAACTTCATATCTTTGTTCAACTTGTCGGCCACTGCACCTAAGCACCTAAACTCCAAAAGCAAAGAAAGAAAAATGAAGCCTTCTTTGCTCATTTGCTCTCATTTAAACCAAGGTGTCTACTGTATCAGGACGTTCAACCATACAGAATCTGTTTTAATAAGAGGAACTGCCATAATTTCAGTGACAAGATGTGAAGAAACTGACAGTGATAAAATACATGAAGGTTTGTGATTATTACATGACTAAAAATGTGGGAAATATTAAAGACATTTTTCTAGTCATTGTACATGAGCTCATTAGATGCTTTTGTAAATTCCTTCCTTTCTCATCTAAATATTTACTTCATCTCCACATGTATTTCTGTTGGTTCAGCCCAACATTCTGGACAGATCTTGCTTCTCTCTGAAAGGAAAACACAAAGAAAAAGTGAATTAGTGGTTGTTGTTGTTGTTGTTGTTGTTGTTGTTGTTGTTGTTGTTGTTGTTGTGAGGAGGAAGAGAGTCAGGGTTAACATGCCTGGTCCATCTTCACAAAATAGGTTACACTGTTTATTTAAACAACACACTGTATATTTTATTTTTGATGTTTTTTTCCCTTTCTTTTTCCCCACTCACAATATTCTCCAAAAGCCCTTAAATAAATAATGAAAAACTCAGCAGCAAAACTCTGTTTAATTTCCCCCCTTTGTGACGGGATCTGATACTCACTGTGGGGCCGGAGGGTTGATGAAGCGCTGCAGGTCCTGGATGTGCTTGGTGACGACTAATGGTCAAACACAGGAGGAAAAATGATGTGTGATTATCATGAAACATAAACGCTCCAGGTTGTTCTGAGTACTGTGATGTTAAAGTGTGACTAGGACATGTTGTAAATCATCGGTGTGTCCCAATTAGTAACAGCATTGAAGGGGCCAATGATATTATTTATAACTTGGACTTAAATGATACCCTAACCCTAACCCTATGGAAAAACCAAACTCTGAAGACTGTTGCCATGGAGACAATCAGAGGAACTGGTCCTCTAGACATCTAAAATGTTTACATTAAAATACTCCTGAAAATGGATGAGAAAATAAAATGATATCACTAAAACTTAACTTTTTGGGGGGGTTGGTCTTACCTGATCCACCTGCCTGTCCACTTGTTCTTCCTCCACCAAACAAAGGCCCAGTTCCAACATTCCCACTTCCAGTAGATGGTTTTCCTGGCACACTTCCTGCCCTACTTTGCCCCGAGTTGCTGCCCCCAGGACCAAAATCAAGCCAAGGCAAAGATGGTGATGAACTGGTTTTACCGGCCGAGATGCCAGACCCACTCGACACAGATGTCGACGTCAACCCGTAGCCTGGTGAGCTTTTCCCTCCTGAAGGTGGATTGTTTAAACCCGTCCCAGCTGAACCTTGGTTTAGTCTGGATCCCAAAGACCCAACTGACGACCCAAATGATGACAGGCTTTTCCCACTCTCTGCTAGTTTGTCTGGTTGTGTCCCGCTGGAGCCAAGAGTTGACCCAAACACTCCCGAGCCTGAGGGTCTATTAATTCCTGAACCAACGCTCAGGCTTGGGTTTGACTTGGGTTGCTGGAGAATTGAACTTACTGAGCCTGCTCCAGCTGATCCTGGCTGATTAAATGTTGACCCAGTGTTACCGGGGCTTGGCCTTGACCCATAGGAAGAAAGGATTGAACTTGCTGAACCTACTCCTAAGGATCCTGACACAGCACTACTCTGGCTTTGACTTGACCCAGCTGTTCCTGTTCTACTTTGACCTAAATTGGAAGAACCGAAAGGGGAATAGCTGGAACCACCACCGTGTGACATGGCATTCCCGAATGGGTTCTGTATACTCGACGTCGAGCCCAGGACCCCTCCTGGGTATGCACCAAATGCATTCTGAAATGAAAAGACAGCAGCAAATGAACATGTGAGTTCCCAGCAAAATTGATCAGTTTCTGCTCCCTCAGTATGAAACCTGTCCCCCTTGAACCTGATGCTGGATCATTTTCAGCTGCTTCATATCTTTGATTGTTCACTGGTCTGAAAATCCTACAGAAGCCATGATTCTATAAACATTTTTTTGAAGTATTGCAATAGAAAAGATTGCAAAATTTGAAATGACTTCCTCTATTTTGCTAAAACATTTTCCTGCTCATTTGAGGTGGCTTTTGGCCTACATTGTCTTGGATTCCTCCAGTAGAATTTCTTAGCCAATCAGCGAACAGAAAGAGAAGTTGTGAACGATCATTTTGATCTTTTTTGTGCGTGTTTAGAACATTTTCCAACCTTTACTTCCTGTTCTCTACAGCCATGCGCTGCAACGACGTCTGATGAAATAACTTTACATAACTTGATTGATTCACTCCAAACCAGCTGATGGAAACTAGCTTACTTTGCATCTTTTTTCTTTCTTTTTTTTTTTCTTTTACATTTCAAGAGTTTACTCAGAATTTGCATGACAATTTGATATAGATAGAATACAGCTAAAGGGACATTGTGGAAATGTTCCTTGCTGTTCTGGGTTTTGAATGTAGTCAATAAAATAATCCAATGTAGAGAATATATTTTGAAATGACTTATGTTCATATGTTGTGTAAAGTCAGAAGGAATCTAAACCACTCCTCAGTGGTGATTCTTACCCTCGCCATGCATGACATGTTGAGTTGCTTTAATTTGCCTTTCAGGTCGTCCATAACTAAATCTTTGTACTTCAGTTGCTGAACCTGGTGATTATAGTCGTTAGTTAGCTTCATCTTGTCCATCAGCAGTCTCTCCTTTTCCTGATCGTGTTTCTGCTGAATCTCCTCTCTGCTGCGTTTATGCTGCTCCATAATGCCTGTGCGGTTTTGGATGACCTCGCGATAGTCCTCAGACAGCCGCCAGTTCTCTGCCTTTAGGCGGGTGTTCTCGATCTGCATGTCTGACACCTGCGCTCCGACCACGTTCAGGTAGTGCTGCAGCTTGTTCTCCACATCACGGGACAGGCTGGTGCAGTTGGTGTGGATCTGCTCCAGGTGCTCCTGCTGTTTTGCGCAGGTGAGCTGGAAGGCAATGTGCTTAGGAAACAGAGATTCGATCTTCTCCAGGAGAGCCTTAGAAACGCCGGAGACTTGAGACAGCAACTGGGAAAACTCGTTCTGAGAGTTTTGCTTGAAGATGTCCAGCTCTTTTTCCAGAATGGATTTTTCTTTCCGGACCTGGATAGCTTGCAGGAGCTGGTTGTCCCTATCTTTAGCAATCTGATCCCTTTCTAGAGTCATTGATCTTGTTGTTGCAGTCAAGTTGGATTCCAAAAGTTGAAGTCTCATATTCAGTTGCTCAGTCTGCAGCCCACAGTTACAATTCCCAGCAGGCTGGCCTGCGTTAGACACCAAATATCAGTGAATAAAGGCAAATACATATAAATATTACAGAGATCAGAGTGACATTGAATGTTATTTTTATGTTTTGGATTTAAGTATAATATTTTGAGTTGGAATAAGTATTATACTTACTCTGGGTGCGGATTGTCATCGTTGCCATCCTGCATTTCGCCAGCTCCGCTTCGCAATATTTCTGTTCATCAGTAAGAAAAAAGCCATTAGTCTCTCAGACTGTGAAAGATTGTCAGTGAAATACAATCAGTCACTGCAGGATGTTGAAGTCAAAGTTGAGCTTTTTTCTTTAATGCCACAGTTTAATGTCACAGAGGTGATTTTACTGAACTTAAACAGACAGTATTTAACACAATTAACTAAAGTACCAAGAATATTTTCAGGTACCTTGAAATTTCACCTTAATACAAATAAAATCAGGTCCCGAGGAGATGTCAAAGTGCAAAAGAGAAATTCCACATCCCATGTTCAGTAACACTTTATTTGAACGGTTGTGCATAAGACTGACATGACACTGTCATAAATATGACATAATACCTATTATGAGCATGAAGGAGTCTTCATGAATGTTGATGACTGTTGTCATGATGGTAATTCAGTAAATAATGATACTTTTAATGCAAAAGTGCTTTAAAGGTTGCATTAAAAGTACCATCTTTGAATTGTGTGGTCAATAATGAGTCTTTAATGCAAAGTTTACACTTTTAATTGACTTTTAATGAAACTTTTAAAACAACTTTGCATTAAAAGTGTCCTTGTTTACCAATGATCTTCATGATAACAGTCATAAGCATTCATAAAGACTTCTTCATAAACATGACAGTAATGTCATGTTTATGACGGTCATGTCAGTCTTATGCACAACCGTTCAAATGAAGTGTGATCAACTGTTCAACACTACAAATACTACATGTATTTATAGACTGTAAATACATGTAACACATGTATAACACATTGCAATGCATTTAAAGTTAATTTAAACTTAATTCAATAATAGGAATCAATTTTGCATGAAAGTAAAGACAAACATTGTTTGAAAAAAGAGAAGAACAAAAGTTGATTAAAGTTATTTATGCCATAAACTCTTAAAACAAATCCCTTTTTTACATTAAAGTGAAAAAAGACCCTGATATGTAAAAACCAGCAGAGAGGAAATCCTCAAGCTCAAGATGGTCGATTTGAGTCAAGAAAATCGGGACATATTTAAGGCCATTTCAAAGAATGATGGAAGGGATTCACATCAGTTTTGTTTTGCACGTTGGATCTGATCTTGTAATTCTAATCTTGGGAATTACATTTTTTATTTCTTTTTTATCGTTTCTTCTACAAACAACCCAACAAAAAATATTCAGCTGGATGAAAAGTTCAGTTCTCCTAAACACAATACTGAGTAACACACACAAACATCTACAGAAACATGGAAATAAAAGCATTTCCACTTTTATGTTGTTGTTCGCGTGTGGACGTGTGGATACGCCTCTATCCGTTCCTAATTTTGGAACGTCTTCTGTTTCCACAATTTAAACACACTGTAGAAATAGCTGTCAGTGGAGCTGACAGGAAAATAAATATATCAACCAATAAACTACAGTAATCAGACTGATGAACGGTGGAACAATCTACATGTGGGATCAGCTCACAATAGAAAGTGAGATGCATTTAAACTGGGGCTGGGAAACCCCATCGCCTTCCTACCTCACCAAATGCATTAAAAGTATACATGAAATATGATTATTATTACTGTTTAACCAAAACGTCCCACTGAGATCAGAAATCTTACAAGTGAGCGCCGGCCAAGACAACAGGTAGAAATAAAACCCAAAATAAAACACAGACACTAAAACAAATCAAGTCCCAAATGGATGTTTTGATTTTATGAAATACTACAGATTATTCAAAGACCCTGATGCAGGAAAGAAAAAAATTATTTTTGCCAAAATCTTCCAAAGCCCTCAGAATACTGCCGGCTTATAAAAGACAGGAGTAGTATTGGATATTTATTGTAAGACACTTTAATAAGATGAAAATGTTGATTCCTTAACAATTTTCCTCCACAAGCTTTTGAGAAATACTGCTGCAAACTGTGCAGAACGCCTTACTCTGAATATTACCCAGAATGCATAGCATTCTGCTGTATGTTCATGTTTTTGTAGAAACACTACATAGGCTCAGTTTACTTAAACAGTTCTTCTTCTTCTTGTTATTATTATTAATCAATTAATTTTTTAAAAGCATTTTTACACCAAAATGTTTGAGTTAATAATGTCTTCTCTATCTTTCTTACCAACTCCATGGTCTGAAACTTGAAAATCTCGATGGACTTGTTGACTAAGATCTTCAGCTGAGCCAGGTCGTAGTCGTTCTTAGCCTTCTCAGTGAGAGTGGCGTTCAGGAGGTTGGTCAGGTTCTTCCTCTGGTTCTGCAGGGCCACGTTTTCAATGGAGATTTGGCTGAACCTCTTTTCCAGGTCCTGGTCGGGATTCGAAGAGTCAGAGACCTGCACTTTCCCGTAGATCAGAAACAGCACCAGGCTGACTATGATGAGAGACTGGATGAGAGATGAGAAGAAGAAGATGATGCGCATGTAGTAGCCACAGCTCTTGCCCTTTGAGCGGTACTGCATCTTCTTCTGAGCCTCTGGACTGAGCTTGTTGACCTGGGAATAGCTGCTGCTGTACATCGCGGTCGATAAGCTGCAAGGCTGTCCAAGAGTTGAGGTTACAATGAGCTGTCAGTCGGGTTCTGTTAAAGTCTTTCTCTCGGTAGGAATTTGACCTCCAGCAACTTGCAGGTTTAACACAGCAGGGACATTTCACAACAAGCCAGTTTCCCGGCACATGTAGGTCAGCTGTGTCCTCACCGGAGCTCTGGAAACACAATGATCAGTTGTGGATCAGATTCAAACATGCGCAGGAGTTTATAAACCCCTCTGTGTAGCCATTTCCCTTCAGGGGAAGTGGAGCCAGCTTCAGCCTCCTCCTCCTATTGGCTGCTTTATACACACAAATATTCACACAATCACAAACATGGTTCCATTTTAAAGTAATGCTGTGTTGCAAATGAACTCTGCTCTTTGTTGTTTTAAAGGTAATGTGAAAAAAACGTATGTATATAAAACATGAACATAATGATACACTGCAGAAAAACTGTCTCACTGTGTGTTTTTGTCCAGTTTCTAGTGCTAACATCTTAGTGCTCTTGAAATGAGATAAAACTAACTTACAAGTAACTTTTCAGCTAAGACTCAGAAGATTGTTTAAGTCAATAATTTCATAATATTGAAAAAAAGGAATTGTTATAAATGAAATAATCTTCCAGTGGAACCAATACTTTTCCATCAACATCAAATAATTATTGAATTAAAACAAATTCCTATTTATTCCTGAAATGTTACTTCTAAGTGAGCTTTGTCTCATTTAAAATGTAAACCAACAATACTGGTAAGTAAGACTTTATATTTTCTCAGTGTGAAATGACACATCTGGGTTGAATAGACAGTTTTTTAAAGTGAGTTTAAGTGTAAAGGTCAGACATATCTTACCTGCTGTAGCTAACCGCATGAGAAAATGTGGAAAAGTGTTGTTTTTTTTGCAGATGTTTGGAGTGAAGAAACATTATTTCTACCATCTATCTCCAGCTGTGTTCCGGGCCAGAGGCGGGGTCACCCTGGACAGGTCACCAGTCTGTTGCAGGGCAACACAGAAACAAACAGGACAAACAACCATACACACACACACACACACAGAGAATTTGGAAAGACCAATTAACCGGAGTACCCAGAGAGAACCCTTGCATGCACAGGGAGAACATGCAAACTCCGTGCAGAAAGACCCCGGGCCGGGAATCGAACCCAGGACCTTCTTGCTGCAAGGTAATAGTGCTACCCACTGTGCCACTGTGCACAAGCATTGTTTGCATATGGTAGCATAATTATTTAGTATATTAGAAGATGGCACTTTTGTCTGACTTTCAATCCAAATTTAAAGTAATTTTGCAATTAAAGTGTCATTATTTACCAAATGACACTTCATAACAACAGTCATAAACATTCATAAAGACTTCTTCATGTTCATAGCAGGAGTTATGTCACATTTATGTCAGTCTTATGATCACCCCTTCACTTAAAGTGGCACCAAAATGTCCCCTATATTTTAAACAACCATAATAAGGTAATAAAAACCGTAATAAGGTAAAGACATTAACAAATACATCTCATATTCTTTCTCTCATCATTGTGGCGACAGGCAAATGGAAATGATTTTGGTAATTCTAACTGACCTGAAACAAGACAAGTTTGGTCTGATTTAACTTCAGACAGAAAAAAAAGGGGGGAAAGTATTTGAAAACGTCTAGTTTCAATTGCATCTGGTCCACAGTTGCACCACATCGGAAATATGTGGAGTCTCTCCATAAAGCTGTCAAAAACATATTTATGGGATCATGAAGAGCATTTTCCGGCGCGCAGCATGAGAGAAGCACAAAGCCGGGAGTTGTTCTGCAGGAATTCTCCCCCCTGAACGTCTTTGATGATCTGAGTGTCTTGTCAACATTTTGACGTCAATCCACTTTCCTCTGTGGCAAACATGCACCGCCGCCATCCAGAGTGCAGAGCAATTGTTTCATTGTAGCAGTCGCCATTTTTCCTGCCATGTGTTCCTCACATGGCAGATCTGATCTGGAGAGGAAGAAACTAATCATGGAGGAACCGCTGGTGCCAAAGCTGGATAAGGTAAAAAAAACAACAAAAAAAAACATTTGACCAATGAGAGAGGGGAATAAATAAGCTGAAGAAACGTGATATTTCTGCTATATCTTTATTTAATATCTGTAATTAAAGATATAGCAGGGGACAGGAAGAAAGTCCTCTGTATAATGATGCTGATGTTGTTTTCATCTAGAAAAAGCAGAAGCAAACAGGCCAGTTACAACATGGAGAAGTTTATCTGTCCCATCATTTTGACATATTTTAAAGAATATAAAGGAAGTCAGTTTAACAGGAAGTAATTGTTATAATCAATGATTTACAAGTAGTTATTAAAAAAACAGTGCTTTGAATACAATGACTCATTCAGTTAATTAGAATATTATTTAAAAAATCATTTATTTCTGGATCTTCATCACTAAGTGAAACACATTATACAGCTTGAACACACACAGCTGAATGTTTGAAAACCTTTAATTATGATGATTTTCCACTTCCAGTAAATACAGTAGATCAATAATAAAACATTTGTCATACCTTTAAATAAAAGGTATGCTTTAGGATGTTCATTTCACGCTACAATTTAATTTCATTTGACAATCAAGCCTCGTCAAAATGATGAACTGTTTTAGTTTACTGATTTAGTTTATTGTGAATGTTTGTTATATAAAGGTGGGATCTGACGACTTTTTAATGAATCTGTAATAGTCTAATGAAACACCAGCTGACTGATGTGATAATGTTCACTGCTCCATCATGCTGGGTCGGGCTTTTATCACTATAAAATACTATTTTTATTATGTTTAGTGTTCATATATGTCTTCTAGATTTTTGTCGAGATAGATACAACTGTTTTTGTCTTTATGACAGCAGATTAAAATGTCGTTTAATCACATTTTTGTCCCCTTTAAAGACTTTTTTCAAATTTTAGACGACTAAATCTTACTACATTTTAGTCGAGAAAGTCAGAGAAAGGTGGATTTTCCCAGCATAAGATTTCTTCAGTCATAAAAAAATATTTAGTTCAGGATAGAATGAAGTGTTTTTAATTTTATGTTTTAAACTCCACAAAACGCAAGCATCTAAACCTATCTTTGAAATAAAGAATTCCCATTGGATTATTCTTGAAAAACATTTCAAGAAAGTGTTGATAAACTGATAAATATATATTTTTTTAAATTGATGCTCTTTTGTTTTGAGAGAAGAAGCTTCTTGAATAAATGAGATTAAATTTAAATCAGAATCTCCCAGAAGGAGGAATCATTTTTGTGTGACTGATTTTATCAGTTTTGTGAATTCACATCAACAGCACAACATGCTGCAGTAAGAGTTGTTTGAAGATTCCCAACTTTCCAAATCAAAATGAAAAAGGTCAGAGGTCACTCCAGTTGATTTTCACTGCTTCAAACTTCAAAACTCTGAATTTCATCTATAAACGGACCGCAGCATTAGCTTTGACTGAATTAGTGCTATGAATGCAAAGCTGGCTGCACTGTTGCCTTGCAACAAGAAGGTTCTAGGTTCGATTCCCGGCTGGGGCCTTTCTGCACACAGTTTGCATGTTCTCCCTGTGCATACTGGGTTCTCTCCGGGTTCTCTAGCTTCCTCCCACAGTCCAAAAACATGACTGTCAGGTTAATTGGTCTCTAAATGATCCCCAGGTGTGTGTGAGTGTGTGTGTGCCTGGTTGTTTGTCCTGTTTGTCTCTGTGTTGCCCTGCGACAGACTGGTGACCTGTCCAGGATGTGCCCCGCCTCTCGCCCGGAACATTAGCTGGAGAACGTTAGCCCCTCCCAATCCCACTAGAGGCAAGGGTGTAAGAAAATGGATGGAGGAATGCAAAGCCATTCCTTTACACACAGCACTAATGTTTTTATGTGCAGACAGTGTAACTTATATTTGCATCAAACATTCATTTATTCACTTATTCATTCATTTAAGTATGGAACTCCAAACTCCATGCAGAAAAAACCCAGGCTGGGATTCGAACCTCAGACCTTCTTGGACTCATTATAAACCAGCTGCCATATACTTTGAGTGAATTGAAACTTCAGGTCTTTTAGCTAATTTGCCATTTTCAAAATTCTAAATAAAATTTTGCATGGAAAATGTGGTGATGATAGTTCCTTGACCTCTAAGTGTGGATCATTTCAGTCACTCAAATGTAATGAGAAAAGAGTCACAGACCAGAGACCATACATGGGGAAATGTTGAATTTGAAACAATTTATTATTCAAATGTCAAACAAATTCTACCAGCTACTCAAAACACTGAGGATCAAGATGATCAGGACAAAAATGTAGATTTTTAATGTCCAAACTGATGCCTGGACATTTTATCATGGAGTCTGTGGAGGGTCTGCAGCCTCCTTCTATGTGGAACCATGATTTATCACTAAAATTACTATCAAGTGTCAGATTTTAGGGCTGCAAAGGCATCAGCAGTTTCCCAACCCTCCCCAACTGACCTGAAGTAAAAGCACCAACCTGCTGCAAAGTATGAATCATGGAAAATAGTGGCTGGATGGTCTGTTATGCTAACAGAACACAATTCCTCTCAGACAAATCGAACAATCCGCTGACATTATTGTAACGTGAGGAGGTCAGAATAGGTTACCACCAGCAACGACTTTAGGAGAATGGAAGCAGTTTTTTTTAAAGGTTTTTGGAGAAGGAAGGACAAATTTAAGAATAGTATGAGCTCATAAAGTCTCTTAATAACAAAACGTGAATCCAAAAACATTTTCACACAAAGACATAAAGTAAAATTAAACAAGTGCAATAAAAGAGTTTTTACTTGGAAGGCCAAGTAAAAAATAATATTTCCTGAGGAACTAGGCCGGGCACAGGGTGAAAACAAAAGGATGTCAGTCATGTTTCCTAAGAAGTGTCTTCGAAGCGGTCAGATTTTTATCACTTCTTTAACGATCTCTGACGAAGATCCCTCTACCGGAAACAAGAGCTGAACTTTGATCCAGCTGTTTGTGGGAATAGAAACACTTGAGACGACATAAAAGAGCCAAATCTGTAACATGGTGAGGTGTGGAGCATCTGCTCCCACTCAGGTCCTGCTTTTCACACAATGTACAGTTTACAGTTTGGAAATGGCAGCATGGAGGTGATTAGGAACCAGAGCTCTATTGTGTTGTCAGTGGAGGAGATGAGAGCACAAAGAAAA